CATGCCCTTTGGGCTTGCCTTGGAAAAAAAAAAAAAAAAGGTGTACACCTACTGCCAAATCCATGAATCAACCCAGACCAACCATCCATACACTACATGCCTTCCCTTCTTAAGGAAAGACCATTCTTTGGTGTTGGTTTCGAATTTTCCAACTTAACAACGGATGGTACCTGATCAACTTGTCTTGCCTTGGCAGGCTTGTAAGGGGTTTCATGCTCCTTTGCATGAGCCATCTCATTAGACACGTTGTTCTTATGTTGAGCCCAATGTGTTTGCCTCATCCTGGGTGGCACACTAAACATCTTCAACTCCTTTGAGTCAATAATAAGACCATGAGTTGTCATTTGTCTTAGTTTCCCCTGACAAGACACATGCTTATGTTTCCCATATGGTTGGAAAGACGGGTGTTTGGACTTAAAGAGGTTATTGTCATCATTGTGGCCAACTTGACCATGTTCAACCATTATGTCTTGATGATCCCTACAATTAGCACATAACCACCCTTGGCCCTTTGTGGGACCATGTCTAGTTAGTGTGTGCCGAGATGTCTTATTCCTGCCCCCTTGTCTGCCATTCATGTTTGGCATGCCATGAGGGCTGTTAAGTATGGACTTGCTTCTTCGTCCATCCCTTAACACACTCTCATACTTAGAAACTTTTTGAGTGGCTTGGGTGTGTTGCACACTCATATAATTTTCTCCTACTTGTTTCTTCATGGTCAGTGACATGCCCCCCTGTCCACTGGTTGGAGACATGCCCCCATACCATTATTCATGGTTGTTTACGTGCCCCCTTGCCAGAGTTAGTCATATTAGTATGCTTACTAAAAGCATGTGTGGCTTCATGTTGTGGCTTATTGCGCACACCTGTCACCCCACTGCTTGTGGTTTATGACATGTCCTTCATTCGTTTCTTAATGGTAGATGACATGACCCCTTGTCCATTGCCTGAGGCTGGAGACATGTCTTCCATGTCATTGTTCGTAGTTGATGACATGTCATCTTTACCACACTTAGCCATGCTAACATGCTTATTACAAGTATGTACGGCGTTGACTTGTTTTGGCTTCTTATGCATGCTTATTTGTCCACTACTTGTGGTTGATGGCATGCCCCCTTGCCATACTTAGACAAATAATGTGGTGTTCTCTTGAACAAATCCCTCTATACATCTTCCTTGACATCAACGTGCCCCCCTGCCTGACACTTCACGTTCAACTTGTCAGGTGGTAGGCTTCTATGCCCCTCTTCCTGCCCCTTAGGTGATTCACCATACCCATTGACTAGGGGTGGCAATGAGGGTGGACAAGCTTCTGGTGCTAGTTGATCCATATTGACTTGATCTCCACTAGCCTTCCCGTTACGAGGTGACACACATGATCTAGACACCAAGACAGTTTCTTGTGTAACTGTCTGCACAAGCAGTTGCTCTACGTGGGTGGAGAACTTGTGAGTGAGATTCTCACCATAAACACCACGTAAAAAAAGTGGTTGACTTCTCACCGGAGGCGACGAGTTCCCAAACCGTGGCTGGGCTATCCGATCACCGGAGACAAGAACAATTGTACCATCAGTAGCGGTACTTGGTGGCGGATCTATACCATTTTTTGGTAAAGACATTTCTTGTACCACTGTTTCTATAAAATCATTTTTATACATATACAAGGAATTTTTATTTTTTATAACTACTTCAAATAATTGGTCCAACCGCCAATCTAAGGTAGAACTAAGAGAAGCAAGTTTGAGACTTGTTTGATGTGAACTTTTAACAAGTCCATCCAATCTCTCCACCATGAATCGGTGGTTCTCCTCCATGGCCTGGTGGTTTTCCTCCATGGCTAGGCGGTTTTCCACCATCATCTTTTGTGTCTCCTCCATTATCAAACGGAGTGACATGACAGTGGTGGTTACTTCAACAGAAGGTGGCGACGGTGGCAAAGCCTCTACTTTGCCATTGTTTCTGACAAATCCTTTTGCTTCTTGGCCAAGTTCACACTTGGCGACTAGATCCATCACAAACCCAGCTGAAAGATCACCTTCTTGTTCTCTCAGTCGTGGAGCCATCAAATCAAACACACAGTGTCCCACAGGTGTGCCAATTTGTTTTCCGACGAGGAAAACTCTGGTGTTTGAATTCAATGAATGCACCTTTGACTTCTTGAACAACGACAATAACACGGTTCACTCCTCTCCGAACAATGTTCGAACGAGGGTGTTTGATGTTTTTGATGGTTTTTCGGGAACAAGCTATGTTAATTACTCCTACTCATATGGAGGTTCCTGTGGAGAGCTGCGCGACTACGCTACGACTACGACTATGGAGATCCTTCCTGGAAGGAGAGCTCCGCGAAGGAGTTACAGAGAAAAGGTAAAGTTTGACAGAGTTGTTCTGTGTTGATTTTTTGGTTCCCCATTCTCTCTCCTTGCACAGTTGGTTTTATCAAACATCTTCGTAGTCTTCACGTCAACTTCTCTACGCAACTGCCTCCTCAACTGCTTCGTCGTCCAAGAGAACTCCCACGTGTCTCAACCGCCTCGATTTTGATTCTGCGTGAATCTCACGTGGAACAAAGTTGATGTTGCTTTGGGATAACAGTGGCGCTGGACTTAGTGGGCCGCCCTTGGCCGAGCTCTTATCCACTGCGGTATCGTTTTTAATCAAACGATATCGTTTACGATACCGCGGTGCCGTTGCCACTTCCTGCGGCGTCGTTTTTATCTAAACGACACCATCCAAAATAATTATTAAAATATATAATTAATTGAGTTGGCCTTTCTCGAGAACTCGGCCAACATGAATTCGTTTTTGAATTAAACCCTGCCGCTCTTGGTTCCGAAACCCAGACTCACCCGCCTGTCTAAACGACTTTTTTTGTCAGTATCGCGGCATTGTTGGGATTTTGACGATGTCGTTGACTTCCACGATATTGTTTTAATATTAAACGACTATGCTTCTAGTCTCGCGGTGTCGTTGGCTCACTCGAGCTTTGCGGCCTCGGTTGTTCTCGCGAAACAACACCATCTCTTACTACCTTTATGTTGCAATCTCTCACGACAGTGTTTTTACTAAACACTGTCGTTTCTTAGTACAACGGTACCGTTGGGGTTTTACTTCTCGCGGCATTGTTATATTCTTGCAACACTGTTTTTAACTAAACATTTTTGTTTCCTTAGTGTCGCGGTGTTGTTTATACCTTTTGCGGCGTCGTTTTTAGCCAAACAACATCGTTTCCCAGTCTCGCTATGTTGTTGAGCTTTGAGCTTCACGGCACCGTTTTATCTCTTCACGACATTGCTTGACTCCAAATGGTGCTGTTTTTTTTATCCTTCTCTGACAAGGAATAAAAAGCATTCATTTTCCAACAGCAACACAAGTCCTGCGCCCATGACTCATACATTGTTTTCTAGTAAACAATGTCGTTTCAAGTACCGCGTGCCGGCGAGCTTCCTTGCGGTGTCGTTTAAACTCTCCGCGACGTTGCTCGATTCCAAACGACACTATTTTTTGTCATGAGGCATCGAATTAAATGCCGAGACTAATTAATGTGGCATTTAATTAAATGCCGAGACTAATTAATGCGGCATTTAATTGAATCAAAAATAATTTTTAGGTGTAAACAGTTACCGAATTAGTACGTAGAAGGAGGATCATTAGAGAAGTCAAGTAGTTTGTTCGCTCTTCAACGACAAGGTAGTTGGTCTATAAGAGGTTAAAAGGTTTAAGTATCCCTTTTCCAAAAACTTGAGTTATTAGGGCCAAGTGGTTAGTTCGCTAACATGGTATTAGAGCCTAGAACCGAAAGATCATGGTTTCGAATCCTCATAACGACACTCATTTTCAGCCATTTCCTTAGCACAAAGAATGGTATGTCCAACCTGTGCAAACTAAAGCCTCGTGGTTTGGCAGCACAAGGGTTCAACCTGTGCAAACCGTAAAAAATCCACAATTGGGCATCGGATTTCGTTTGAGGAGGCGTATAAGAGGTTAAAAGGTTTAACTATCCATTTCCCAACAACTCGAGTTATTGGGGCCAAGTGGTTAGTTCGTTAACATGGTCCGAGTTGCATGAAATTCTCGAAACCACCATATGGATACTTCGTATCAACCATTCTCGAAGGATTTTTTTATCAAACGAAGCCAGTACCATAAACAGTGTTTTGGTGCTTCGTATTCGTGTTGATGCTTCGTAGTTAGCTTCCTTGGATACAGACGTGTTGTCTGGCGGAATAACAGAGAGAAATGAGGATCTTCAAGGACATGGTTTTGGCTGTTACCGTGCATGTTCTGTGGTGCATCTTTCTGTCACAAACCAGTTGGTCCCAATAACTCGAGTTGTTGGGAAAAGGTTATGCTGGATCTTATACCACTATCTAACACGCCTCCTCAAACGAAAGCCAACCCATGGGCTTGAAGTTTGTACAGGCCCACCATACCATGTGCTTGAAAGACAACGGTTAATATTGGGGGTCGTGGAGATTCGAACACATGACCTTTCGGTTCTAGGCTTTGATACCATGTAAATAACCAGTTGGTCCCAACAACTTGTTATTTACATGGTATCAGAACAAAGAACCTAGAACCGAAATGTCATGTGTTCGAATCTCCACGACCCCCAATATTAACCGTTGTCTTTCAAGCACATGGTATGGTGGGCCTGTGCAAACTTCAAACTCATGGTTGGCTTTCGTTTGAGGAGGCGTGTTAGAGAGTGGTATAAAATACAGCATAACCTTCTCCCAACAACTCGAGTTATTGGGACCAACTGGTACGTGACACCACTACTGGTAATGATCATGAGACCAACATTTTTGGAAGATGGACAGAGACATATATTCAAGAATTCTAGTATTTATATTACCAGAACAACTTTTTTGCAGAGCCATTGCCATCCTTCCGTTTCCAATAGCGTATAGACGAATAGAGTGCCATGGGGATTGATGCTCAAGTACAACGGCAACGGTATAAAAATGCACCGCCCGCACCCAATTATACGGACCAAATTCACATTCTGCCCTATATAAAGGCGCACAAACCCCTGTCCTTCCATTCCATCACTGCTCTGCGGCAACAACAAGCTACTTACTGTACTATCATATCCATATCCATAGACCAGCAGATATCAGCCATGGCTCAGCTTGCCAAGCTCGAGGCTGCAGTCGCCATGAAAAACCCAAACAAGCTAATGGATTTCCTGAAGAACAACATCCAGGCCTTGCCGCAGCTGTTCCCTCAGCTCTACAAGAGCGTGGAGATCGTCGGAGGAGGCCGCCAGCTGGCCACCGGCTCCATCATCTCTCTCTCGTATTACCTTCGTAAGACAATTCTTTTATCCTACGTGCTCTCCTCTCCACGTCGATCAAGTGTAGTAATAAGCTTGTTGATTTTGTTGTAGCTGGGACGCCCACGTTGATGAGAGGAAGCGTGGAGGTGGAATCCATGGACGAAGCAAGGAAGTCGATAGCGCTGAATGTGATCGGAGGGGACGGGCTGAAGATGTTCAAGAGCTTCAGGGTGAAATGCGAGATTGATGACGAGCAGCCGCAGCTGGTGAAATGGAGCCTTGAATACGACAAGGCCAGTCCGTCTACACCGCCGGCCGACCCTTATTTGGAATTCTACATCAACCTTACCGCGGCCATAGACGTCCTTTGACGAACTGTAAACCCAAACACCATGACTGGTTCTTGAACTTGAAGTGCGCTTTGGTCTACCGATCCTCCACAGATGGGGACTTCTTTGATGTTGTAACTGAGGGTGGTGATATATAGAAATAAGAGTGTGGAGAGAACACCAAACCGGGCACTGAAAAGATTTGTGATGATTTTCCGATTAAGTTATCCTCCTTGTGAAATTATTAATGGACTTGGATTGCAATAACAAGCTTTAAAATCGACAATGGAATGACTGAGAAAGGTTTGACTCAGTGGCAATACCCAGGGGCGGAGCTACATTGGCCCTAAGGGGGCCCCGGCCCCCCCGAGAATCTCGAACTTACGTGTAAACGGTTTAGGATAATACGTATAAACAAGAAAGTATTTAATAAAAAGACAAAGCGTGCAGATTATAACATGAAATTTGAGTTAGCCTAGTGGAATTGGCAATTTAGAAGGACCAAATGGTCACGGGTTCAATTCTTGAGGTGAGCATATATTTTATTTTTTTGCCTTTTTGGTAAGCAGTAGCCCTCTCCTTTCTTTTTTGGAAGCTAGTTATTAGCTAATTCGACTATTGTCATTATATTTTTTTATGATTTGTAGTGAACTCAATGTGAAAAAGTTTTGAGTTTTAATTATAATAATATGTTTTTAAAATAATTTTTATTACTAGTTTTTCCTTTTTTGCTGTAACGTATTAAGAAAATTCCGGCCCCCCCCGATGATTAAATCCTAGCTCCGCCCCTGGCAATACCATCCGATCAATATTTAAATTGAATGATAATTTAACACTACAATTCGTAGTAATCGAAATCTTATTTTGACCCAACTTGAATTGCTATAACATATAACCAATAATAAAATAGTAAAATATTTGATTTCTTTATGTTTCAATTGATATTTACTTATTTTGTATAACAAAGTAGTTCAATTTCTCATAATCTTCAACTGCAAAATAAATGATAACACTGATTACAATCCTTGTTTGATCTTTTTGTTAACAATTAACCTTATAAAAAAATACTAAAATAGTGCACTAGACCATCTCTTAAGTTCGAACTCTCAATTGGTTTCTGTTGGGGGAGTTGCAAAGATAGGCCCAGGGCGGCCCAATAAAGAAGAAGAAATCACATCATGGGCCCGGTCTGCGGGTTGGTCTGCGAGGCCTAACCCGGGATGGTATAGGAAGCTAGGAGACAAGGCGCGGAAGACTCCAAAAGAATACGGACCGGACGCCTCGTACCTGTCAGAGGCCTGACAGGTTGGTCGGGGCTCCCAGCCTGACAAAGGTACGGAGTATTAAATGCGATGCTGACGTGGAGCTAAGATGAGGAAGCCTGATGTAGGGTTGGGTAAGTATAAATAGTGTCGGTGGGTAGCATTTACTCAGGTTGGACTCTCTCACTAAGCACTGGAGCTCTTCTCTCTCTAAAACTCAAACTGACTTGAGCGTCGGAGTACTAACGGGCCCGGGTGCCCTCCTCCTTGTGCGTGTGTGCAGGTCAGGTGCCTTGGACACGTAGAGCGGGGATAAGGTTGGTGAGGAGTTGGGCTCCAAAGTATCCGGGCTCAAACAATTGGCGCGCCAGGTAGGGGAGTACGACCGAAAGTTGCAAACATGGAGCCGCCGCCGAGTGGAGAGGAGGAACAAATCATGGGGAACCCTTCCACGGGGTCAAGAGAAAGGACGCCCGAAGCCGTGGCAGAGGCAAGAAGTGAGTCGAGGTTCCCGAGGTCCTAGGGCGCCTCGCTCACCAAGAAAGATTTATTCAGGATCATCGAAGACCAGGATGAGGCAATTGAGATTCTCAAACGGGAAGTTGAGGCATTGAAGAAGGGAGAAGGAATGGTGCGTAGTCCGACTTCAAGGGAAAGGGAAAGAGATGTGGAGACAGAAGAGGAGTCCGAGCAAGCAAGACACCCAACGTCTGTGTGGCTCCCGAGAGACCATGCAAACTCGGATTCGAGGTGCGCCATGGGTGGGCGTCGGGGAACCTACCCCGACATTGCCCAGTAAGACAGCCCTTGGCAAGGAACGTGCTAATGGAGCCGGCTGGAACCAACATACCCCCACTTTCCGTCTACGATGGGACGGCGAACCCGGATGACCATCTGAACGGCTACTTCACAAAGATGCAACTCTACAACAGCTCCGATGCCACCTTGTGCAAGGTGTTCCCATCGACCTTCGCAGGCGTGGTGCTGGATTGGTATCACCAAATTGAGTAGGGGCGCATAAAGTGCTTCGAGCAATTTGCAGCAATGTTCCTGGCGAAATTCGCTAGCAGGAAACGTCGTTCCTTGACCATAGGCGCCCTCTTCAAAATTAAACAGAAGGAGGGTGAGGTCTTGAGAGAGTTTTACGAGAGGTGGCTCTCCGTAGCCCTGGCGGTAAGGGACGCCCAAATTTCAGTGTTGGGATGCTGCCTAAACGAGTGCACCTCTAGTGAGGAACTTTGTAGGGTATTGGCAAAGAGAGACGTGGTATCCACAGAAGATTTGAACTGTAGGGGGCAAAAGGTAATCGTGTTGGAGGAAACCTTGGCAGCCCGAAGGGCGGATAGGCGCCGAACAAGAGGAGAAGAAGGTGAGACTTCCCGGAGACAGATGCCTCCCCCAGGGCCGATGCATACTCCCGCAGGTTATGCGTCAGGGAGAAGGATGGACGCAGAGCGCCCCCAAAAGCGAGGAGTGGGTTCCTTCGTGGAATTTAACGATACGCTGAAGAATGTGCTCCAGTATGTCAAGGAGAAGGGATATCACGTCCGATGGCCAAGACCGATGAGAGGGCAATCCAATGAGCGAAACCTGTACCGATACTGTGATTTCCATTGGGAGAGAGGGCACCATACCACCGATTGTTATCAACTGAAAACAGAGCTGCTGGGCTTGGTGGATAGAGGAATGCTCAGCGACTTTATAGGAAAAGCCAAAGAGAAAACACACCGCACTTGTGTAGCCAGGATGGAGTTGAAGACGGTGGAGTTGCCCCCACCGCCATACGACCTCGACCAGGACAAGGCGCCCGAGCGGGTGCGGCTCACGGTAGAGTCCATCACAGGATCGGTCGACTTGCGAGAAAAATTGAAAGCAAACCGCCGTTTAAGGGCCGCTTCGGTGGGCGCCCAGGAGGCCATCGACATTCATTTCAACCAGACGTCTGAGGAAGCATGTAGAATTCCATCTATGGACGCACTAGAGGTACAAGGAGTGGTGGCGGGTTGCAAGGTGAAAGAGATGCTCGTTGACACAGGAAGCTCGATGGACGTGTTGTTTAAAGAAACGGTGGCACAAATGCAGTTGTCGCTCGATTTAATCCAACCCTCAGACTCTGTGCTGATTGAATTTTTTGGGGCGCCCGCAAGAGTGATTGGCCGAGTGCGCCTGCCCGTAACTCTAGAGAACGAGGAGGAGAGGGTCACTCACACCGTATATTTCACATAGTGGACTGCCCCTCCTCGTATAACGCGATACTTGGGAGGCTCCTCCTGGACCTCTTCAACTGAGTGGCGTCTACATGCCATCAGAATCTAAAGTTCATCACCCCTCAAGGAGTGGGAGTGGTCCGAGGACGAAGCGCCTCGCGTTATGCCCGCGAGACGGGAGGTAAGCGCCTACAGAGAGGTGAGAGAGTTAACGTGGTGGACATCCCGCCAGAGGAGGCACCTCGGGTCGAGGCAGCAGATGAAGACCTTCTGACCGCTATGGAGGAAGGGCGTCTCGATAGGCAAATTCGGATATCGGCACAAGCGCCCATTGAAATGAGAGAACGATTGATCGACCTACTGCGGGAGTTCGGCGAACTCTTCGCGTGGACCGCCATGGAGATGCCCCGCGTGGTGCCCAAAACGGTAGTCCATTGGTTTGCAGTAGAGAAGGGGAAGAAGCCTATCCAACAGAAGAGAAGAAGTCTGTCGCAAGAAAAGGAGGTGGCGCTACGGACGGAAGTTAATAAATTGCTTGGAGCAAATTTGGTGGAAAAAGCCACTGATGACTTGATATATAAACATGTTTTTGTCCACCATTCCTCTACCGTTTGAGTTTCATCTCTCGTGTTTTAGGCCAATTTCACGCTAGGTTGTTCGTTTTTGTGATATTTCATGTCCTAGTACGTGAAGGAAGGTACGGGCTCGAGTTCGGGGTCGATTAGACGAAGTCGGAACGATTGATGAAAAGCTTGGGAAACCACACGGCCAGACCTAAAAACCACACGGCCTAAAAACCACACGACCGTGTGACGTGGCCTTGTGGAACCCCTTTGCACGGGCAAACCACACTGGCCGTGTAAAGGATCCTTTGTGGCCATGTGGAATTCTCAGGGAACTCACACGGGCATGCCATGATTTCACACGGCCGTGCGGCTTTGGCCGTGTAGCGTGCGTGAAGGAACTTAAGTGAAACACGACGTTTTATACTTCCACACGGGCAGTTGGCAATTCTACACGGTCGTGTACTCGTGAAAATCTGGGTTTTAACCCAATTTTGGGTCTCTTGAAGGGGGATCGATTTTCAGAGCGAGAAACAGAGTCCTAGAGAGGGAAAGTGCTAAGAACACACCCTAGAGGTGATTTTGGAGCTGGGTTTCATCAATCAAGCTTGGATTTCATCCTTGGAGTGAAGATTATCATCCCAGAGCAGATTCTTCCCATCTTGATGAATATGACTGCTTTGTTTTCTATTTTCCTCTCTTTCTCTATGGAGTAGAACCCTCTCTCACTTGGGTATGAAGAACCCTAGTTCCATGTGTTAGGGATATCGATTGTAATGACGTTTGGATTGTGATACTGCTTGATTATAATCGATTGAAGTGTTTTGATTGAGTCAATTGAAGGCTGATCATCTTTAATTGATTTCTGCTGCAACCTGAGATATATAAAATCTGATTAGGTTGTTAGAGTCGGACTCCACATGGCCAAGGAGTTGGGCGCCCAAAAGGTGCAAGTTAAGACATATTCGACTCTCGTGATCAACCAGCTCAAAGGGATTTACGAGGTCAAAGAAGATGCGCTTGAAAGTTATGTGCAAAAGGTACGAGAGATGGGCGCCTGGTTTGGGGAGTTCGTGTTCACGCATATTCCAAGAGAGAAGAATACCCATGCGGTCGCCTTGTCAAAGCTAGCAACCGCTCTCGACTTCGCAGAGGAACGGAAAGTCCTAGTCACAAGGGAGGTGCCACAAAAACATCTGATGGCCACCCTAGCCCGTGCAAGTGGTGGTTGGATGGAGCCCATATAACTGTTTCTAACCCTGGGCGTAGTGCCTGAAGACTCAAAAGAATCCTGGCGCCTCCGTCGAAGGCTGACTATACAAAAGATCCCATTCGGGCACATACTTGCGATGTTTGAACGATG